TTTTTCTTTGTTTTTCAAACAAGAAACTTAGATCTAATATCTTTTGTTTAGCCTTTATCCTGACCATTAACAATAACAAATTGCAACCAACCATCCTAAACAATAACATCCTATCTATAACCCATTAAATGACCAAAAACCACACACCCCATCTCTTGGGAATGTGGGCATCATGTTCTTAAAATTACTTCCTTAATTTTTCCTTAATTATTCCACTTAGGCTAGGCTACTTGGCCAACATGCCTTAGAGATCTACATGTTCTAATTCTGCAACACTGGGATTATAAGTCATGAAACAATGCAGAGCTTTTTTGTTTTCACTTTTTAAAATTGGTTTAGAGATATTTACTCAGATCTTCACATGTACAAGGATAGCACTTTTCAGACAGAGCATCTCCTATCCCATAATGTTTGACAATAGTATGAAAAACATATACATGCAAAGAACTAAATATAGGTTTCTGGTTGAAGAGCTTCTCTATATGTATAAGAAGGAAACAAAAGTAATATCTCTCACCACATGCAAAATTCAAAGTGGATCAAAGACACTAACCTAATACCAAAATTTTGGAAGTACTGGAGAAAATTAGAATGAGAATCCCAGTAGATATAATCATATACTCCAGTAGTACCTTGAATAATCTGGTGAAATGACAAAAATATTAGTTTAATAGCATAAACTATAGGCAGAGTTATCAGACAGCCTCATCAACAAATTAAAGTTTTTTCAACCCATACATTACACAAGGGGTTAATGTCTAGAATATAAAATAATTGCAAAAAATGAAACAGTAATATAAGCAAATCTTTTAATCAATAAGTTTACCATGAAGGAATAGACAGTTCTCCAAGAAAGAAATAAAAATGGCCAATAAATATGTGAAAAAAAATCAGCATCTTTAGCATTTGGGAAATGAAGATTAAAACTGCTTTAAGATTCCTTCTCATCCCATAAGAATGGATATCAAGACACAAATGACAACAATGTTCCTTTCATCTACACAATTTTATCAACATTGTCACCATTAGTGGATAAATAAATGATGCAGCCAATATAGACATCAATGAGAAGTTTTCTCAAATGACTGAAGATATAATTACCATAAGACCTAGCTATAAGAATTTTGGTTGTTACTCAGTAGCTTGGAAATCTTACTGCAAATTTTCTTTAAAAATCTGTTTCATTCTCTAAAACAAAACCAAGAATTGGAACCAGCTTAGAAGCACATGAACATGAATATACAAAAATATATTTGTAACTATATTTATTGTATACAAAATGCCATTTCATTCAGTCATAAAAAGAATAACATCATTTGTGGAAAAAATAGAATGTGTCTGTAAATTAGTACCTTCATCAAATTAAATAAGACTCAGAAAATAAAAATTCACAAGTTTTCTCTCTCATTCAGAACCTGAAGTTAAATATTTATGCAGTGTGTGTATGTGTTTGCATGTGTGTATGCACGTGTGTGTATGTATGTATATGTGTGTGTATGTGTGTATATGTTTGTGCACGTGTGTGCATGTGTGTATATGTGTGTGCATGTGTGTATATGTGTGTGCATGTGTGTGCACGTGTGGTGCACGTGTGTGAATGTGTGTGTGCATGTGTGTATATGTGTGTGTATGTGTGTGTGCACGCACGTGTGTGTGTGTAGTTCACAAATCTAGAAAGAGCCTCATAAATGGGGGAATGAGATTTAAATAAAGAGTGATTGGGGTGATTGAGTACAAAAGTAGTGAATTCATGGCCTGTGAAGGTAAGAGGGAGATGTCGATGGGAGGAAAGGGGCTACCAAGCTGAGACATGAATGGTGGAGGCTCAAAGGGGAGGGAACAAATAAGAAAAATTATAATGACTTATGTGTTAAAATACCATACTGAAATCCATTAATTTTATAACTTAATTTTTATGAAGATATTTAATAGTCAAAATTACTACATATCACTAGTGAACTCCACTTAAAAAACAAGTTCTTACATAATTGAATAAGTTTGGCTTTGTACTTTGTGCAGTACAACATTGAAAGCTTGTCTTTGCTTTGTTTTGTGAGATAACTTCATTATAGTTAAATAAAAATATTATTTTGAGATTAATGTTCAAATTTCTTATGTTTACATGATTCTAAATTTCCCATTTTTAAAATGTTATAGAAAATGCTCCTTAAAATTAGAAGAAAAAAAAACTAATATCTGTGTATCTGGCTATGGGGTAGTTTTTTTAGTGTTATGTGGAGTATTTTTAGAAATGGCCAGAGCAAACAGATTAGAAATGAAGAAAGAGGGGTGGGTGGGCAAGGAAAAGACAAAAATAGAGATTAAATAGCAATAATCATGGAATTTGAAGTGAAGGCACCACACCTATGTAAATACCTGCATGTACCTCGTGCAAACGATGGAGTGGGGTGTATGTTGCATGTGCATGAATTAGCAGATTGCTAACTCAAAATTTAAGCATTTGAGCATATTTACAAGCAGAGATTAACCAAAAAAAGCAGGGAAAAATTATCAGAAAAGAGAAAACAAATGTAGAGACTTGGAAAATATAAATGAATATGAATGAGGAGTCATGTTCCATTACAATGTTAACATAATGTGCTCAAGTGTTCCTTGTATGAAAGTCTGGGAGTTTTTATAAATTTGTAATCCACATGTTAGTTGGGAGTATATTTTTCTGATAATTATTTTGAATTGTATTTCATCTTTCTTGATGTCTATTGTTGACAGCATCAGTGACATCTCTTGCTTAAGAAGGCACGTGAATACAATCAAAACTAAAATATTGTGGCAGTAATGGAGGGTGTTTGAAATGAATGTCAAAATCGAGAACTTTTTTAAAGCCAATGCTTTTGATTTGCTAGAGCTCAGCTTCAAGAAAAATAATACAAGTCCTATTCATATAAATGTTTGTCAGCTTTACTTTACCTTTTAACTGCAAAAGATGGGAAGTGCAGTATTTATAATGTGCAGATTGCAGTTTACATTAAGTAGAAAAGTAGAGCACAAGGAGCACAGTGATTATAAATCTGAAGATTGGTGATGCTAACACTAGAGCTCACATGGTATTGCTAGATAGACTAGATAAAATATGAAGAAGAGTGTGAATAGTACTCAGATAAAGAGTTGTAATTTTTCTCCTAAACTCTCTTAGTCAATCTTAAGTGCATTTAACAACTATAATCATTTTTGAATTGTTTAGTATGTTCAGAAAGCCAGAAACATTATCTGGAGTCTCAGACTAAGGCAACACACTGAGGCTTCAAGAGAATCCTTGTGGGCCTCTCAGCTACTAATTCTGAGTAAAAAAGATTATTGAAGAGCATTGGTGAATATATTCATGGCTGTATTGTCTGAGATAACCAGCTTAAAATCTATCCACATTCTAAACCCTGAGCATTTAAAACTCTGTAAAAGCAGTTCTGGGAGTGCTGTTTAGCCCAGACTGAGGAAGACAGCAGTTTATCCCAGAAATTGTCCTTTCCAGCATAGCACTATTTATAGGAAGCACTGGCAAGGACACTCAGGACCCACAAAGAAAAGATCCTCACACGGAGAGGATCCATCACCACTATCAGATGCTAGAGCTTAGGATTCCATTGTGCCAGGCAAAACTGAAATGGTCTTAGATATTTTGAAAATCCCTAGGCAGAAAGAATAAATAGAATCCTTAATTTTGACTGTGATGCCTCAGGAAAGATTAAGAAAATTAAGAAAAATGTGATCAGTAAACCCAAGGGCCTCTGATTGATGCATATGCAATTATATGTATTAAAAACAGTGTTTTCATGCATATATTCAAAAATACATATAAACATTTTAGATTGTTGCTGCTTTGTAAACTTATTCAGTTGAACTTTAGGAATTAATAAATCATCATTTAATTGATTGTGGTTGTAGATTTTCCAATAATGTCTACAATGCAAAAGGTATAATTGTCATAAAAATCCAGGAAAATGAAGTACATAAGTACTACTATGTGAATATGTGCATAGAACTTAAGTTTGCTTCATATCACAAAGGAACATAAAATTGTTTGGCTAATTAAAACTAATAAGCTTTGTTTGTTGTACATCCAAATATGAAAGCATAAATTGATCAGCATACACTTTCTGGTGTTATAAGCTACTAGCTATGTTCTATCCCATCTTCTGCTATATTTTCATGGTTATAATAAAAATGAAACTGATTGCAAAACAAAATTTTCATGTATCAAGTATGATTCCTGAAATTGAAGTTTTTTTCTCACAAGTATATGAGCACTCACATATTCAAGATTCAAAATAATTTTTTAAAATTATTTTTAGACAATATTTACATTATTCTAACTCTTCTTTCATTTGTTTCAAAATTATTTTAATTATAAATAATTTGCACAAACAACTTGTAAAGAAATTCTGATTTCATAATAAATAATAAATATTTTGTTACTAATTTTAATTATGATAAAATTAACTTATGAAAATATTTTTAATAAATAAGCCAAGGGAAATAAAATATTGTATTTTAGATGTCTTCTCACTATGCATGTATTTGATTCCTAAGTAAAAATGTCTGAATTAAAAAGGACCCAGAAGACCTAGACATACAGTGAAGAACTTTTCTCCTTTTAGTAACTTTTGTCCATGCTTTAAAATGATCATTTGTTTGCTGTTGCTAATCCTCAAGCAGGGGGGCATGTCCTATTCACTCACAGAATTCTTACGTAACTCCCCTTTTTGTCATCTCAAGCTAGGAGTTTCCTTTGCTTATTATTAGCAAAAATACAAAACAAGAAAGAAACAAGGATAGAGAGAGACAGAGACAGAGAGACAGAGACAGAGACAGAGAGACAGAGACAGAGAGCATGAAAGAAAAGAAAAGAGCAGTTCAGACTACTTGTTTTGCTGTCTCCATTTTAACCTCAGCCTAAGAACAGCCATTAGAATGGCCTTTTGGTATTTTACACAAAGGACTCAGTGTTCATGGTTCTACTTGGTGAACCCGAAATAGCATTGAGTAAGCAGTGACATACTGACAGTGTTGTGCTACTAAAAGCACAGCATCCCTAACTCAGCGCACACTGAGACATGGAGATGTTTCTGAGAAGCTTGTAAAATTAAGTCAGAAGATCTTTTCCTTTCTTCCTCCTGTAAGTGGTAACCACCTCGTTTCCGTTTACCTGGGTGCCCTGGGATTTGAATCTGAGCAGGTGAGACTCTGATGATCTGGCATAGATTAAAATATATAAATAATGTTTGTTTACTAGACAAAGTCAGCAAGTATTTGAAAACTGATGGCTACTTGGCATTTGATAAAGAAAAGCAATCTAGAAATTATTGAAGTGTTGGAAATTTCCAAAAACAATTATATATAAGAACATATTTCTACTATGTTAATACAAAATCAGGGGGAAAATGCTCAAATATTAGGAGATTAGAAAATTTTCTTCTATGAATGTATAATACTGGACTTTATTTTAAATTATTATGCATTTGCTTTGTAGTATTGTGAAACATGGATAATGAAGTTGTGTTCCTTTAAATCATTAGAAATATATTTCTCTATAATATAAATATTGAATATAACAATTTATTTCTTGATTAATACTTTTCAGAATGGATTTTTCTCACATGTTTTTATAGCACTGATTCTTTGAAGACTAACGATTATCAAAATCAGGGAATAGTTATTTATGTTCTTTCCTTTTTAATAATTTCATATTTTTTCTATTTTCTTTAAAAATTATTGTTGAAAGAATTTAAACAGTAAATAATATTATGTTTCAAATAAAAATAAAGATACTGAGTACGATAAGGAATTACGCTTTTGTATGGATGTATTTGTAAAGACATTTATATATCTCAAATTATATATTAGACAAAGGATAATATATCCAGCAGAAGAATTAAATAGTCAAAATTAAGAAAATAATGAAGTTTAAGCAACATCTAAATAAATTCTAATTCCTCAACTCTAGTTATAATTGGATTATTAATTATAATAAAACCTTAAAGTAAGTTGCAAAAGTTATTTATAAAATCTAGAATATTAAATACAAATGAAATGTTTGTTACAAAGAATGTTTTCTGTATATAAATTTATACATTAACTTTTTAAATGGATTTATTATTAAGATAAATACTCATTAATTTAGGTTTTATAACATATGTATACTTTGAATGTGTGTATGAATAATAAATGTGTATATCATTTATATAATAGATGCATTAATATTAATATATACTTCTTTATTCCAAACACAACTTAGAAGTAAGAATATTGTTTTTTACATTGAAATTTGATTTCCATATTATGAGCATTTATGATGCTTGAAATTAATAACCAGTGAAATATGTTTTTAAACACAAAAATGATTCTAAATTACATATGTAGGCTCATTTAAAAATAAAGTAATATGTATGTAACTCAAAAAACACACAATTCCTGTTCTTTAAATGTGTTTCTTCATCAAGACTTATTTAACACTTAATAAAATACATCTTACATTGTATGAAATGTATCTACACTTTATAGCCTCTTATTCAGGTAAACTTTGCACTTTATTACTGTCCTGCACTTTTCTACTTAAATGCACACACACACACACACACACACACACACACACACACACACACACCCTCCTATAACCAGTAGTTTTTCCAGTTTGTACAAACTTTAAAGAAGTTCTTCTATTTATACTTTTGATGTTGCTGTTTTGTCTTTTGCCCATGTTATAAATTTAGAAATGGTTATCCATAGGAATTTTATAAATTGATTTGGAGATGATTTTTAAGGTTTTCACTATCAGAAAATATTTAAGGTGAATACATATCTATAACTTAATTTAAATATTATATTGAATGTATATTACCTTGTGATTATGCATACTTTTATATTTCATATAAGATAAAAATAATTTACATAAAAGTGAAAACATGCATAAAAGTCTTCTATGTGTTTTTCAGAAAATAATTTTGTTAAATTATATCCTGTAAATAAATATTAACTGAGAATGGTTTTTCCCCTCATCATTTTACCATACATCTATAAAAGATCTTACACCTTATAAGTTAATATTTAGTAGTAAACATTTCATTGAGTCGGGAGAAATAGAAAACTGTTCATTGTTTAAAAGAATATATTGATCTTTCACACCCTTCCTTGGGATTTATTGCTGCCAGCCTGATATTGAGAACCAAGGTTACAAGTAAATAACAGAAAAATAAAATGACTGTTAAATGTTGTAGTGATTTCCTTTTAAAGCCACGGTCTTCCAATATGTTCTAATATGTTTATCACTTTTGCATAACAAATTAACGCTAAAATAAAGCCCTATGGAACTTCCTAATATTTCTACAAGAATCATATTTTATGATTCCAATGACAGCTCACAGAACTGAGAAATGACATTTCCAAATTGGCTGGAAGATATTTGACCTGATAAAAGCCAAGCAAAATCAGACATAAAAGACTTGTTAACCACTGTCAACTCAAGAGATAGAATGTGACACCGTGATGAAAAATTTAAAAATCATTAACCATTTGACTATCTTTTAAATACACATTGTTGTATGAATCTTAAATGGTCTTATAATAAACACTCTTAGCAAGGGCTTATAGTTTATATCATTTATAGGGGTGTTTCTGGGTCCTAATGGCTCCCTTGGGGGAAGGGTGAAAAGACGTGTACTCAATGGCACAGACACCTGGAGTCAGGGAAAAAGCAAACAGCATTTTCAAAAACCATTATTCAGCTCCCAGTATACCCAGCTCTCTGCACCAAGGCAGAATCCCAATCCTATGACATTTCCTAGTCGCCCCTCATTGGCTAGATATGATCTCGATCTCTGACAGTGCTTGTTGCTAGGCACTCAGGCAGACTCCAGGTTGGCTTATCTCTTGGCCTCTTAGGCAGTATCTTCCTATATAGGGGCATATCAAGTTTATAAGCTAATAGTAAATATGCATTCATAGATATAAAAACATATGTCTAAATACATGTGTAAGAAAGATTATTTCAAGTTGTATTCATAATAGTTTTATAATTTCACTTTTACAGTTATTGTCATTATTAAAATACCATTTCATGGAATATGTACTTTACAGTTACTTATGGTAAATATTGTTTAAATTATACTGAATAAATATAAACCAATGTTAACATTATTAATAAGAATGTAAGTGTGCCTGTGTATTTATTTATCTAGGATTTTTTTTAAAGCTTAGAGTCTAAAACAAATAATACTTAACATTATACTATACAGTTTGTGAGATGTCTTGCCTCTATTATTAATGTATACTAGATGCAAAAAGTACTCTGTCTCATTGTTATATTTTTTCATATATACATATAATTGATTATGATAATATCCATCTGTCCAATTACACTCTTATTCTTCTACCTCCAACTTTTAATTACATGACTGACTAATGCTACTATTCTGCCCATGTATTCTTTCCTCTGTTTGAACTTCATATATGAGAGAAACCATCTTCCAATTGTCTTATTGTCTCTCGTTTATTTCACTTCATATGATGACCTCTATTTTCACCTACTTTTCTGAGAATGACATAATTTTACTCATTATTTTAAAAGGTTTTATGTATATGTGTGTGTATTTATATTGAATTCTCCTTATTAATTCATTTATGAGAAGCCTACAGCTTGATTTCTTATCTTGGCTCTTGTGATGCTACATAGAGTCCACCTATTTCTTTGATATGTAGATTTAGAGACTTTTGTATATATACCCAAAGATGGACAGCTGGATCATATAGTAGTTCTATTTTTACTTTTTTAAAGGAACAGACATATGCTTTCCAAACTCATCAGATGAAATCTCTCACACTCCAACAATGCATGAATATACCCCTTTAAAAACCTTATTATAATAATTCATTTTCTGATAAAACTTTCATGAAATGGAAACTCGATGAGGATTTCATTTACTTTTACCCAACAGTTAAAAATGTTCAATATTTTTAAATTTTCAGTTGCTTAATGGCCATTTGTATTTCTATATTTGAGAAGTGTTAATAATGTTAATTTGTTACCACACTGACCTTATTATTTATGCTTTTGATCCTTTATATATTCTCTTAATGAATTGCCTATCAGATGAATAACTAGCAAACATCTTCTCTGAGGCTATGGGTTATCTCTTTACTGTATTGCTTGTCTCTCAGTACAGAGGCTTTGTGACTGGATGGTTACATCTTCTCTGATACTATGGGCCATATCTTTATTGTGTTGTTTCTTACTTGGTACTGAGGCTTTGTAACTGAACGATTTTACTCATGAACTCTTGTTCTTTCTTCATGGGCTTCTAGAATCTAATATAAAGAGTCCCTGCCTATGCACACAACCTCCTTTTTTTTTCTTTTGAGGCAGGGTTTCTCTGTGTAGTTTTAGTGCCTGTCCTGGATCTCGCTCTGTAGACCAGGCAGGCTTTAAACTCACAGGGATCTGTCTGGCTCTGCCTCTTGAGTACTAGGACTAAAGGTGTGCACCACTGCCACCCAGCTTTTGTTATGGAATTTCAAATTGTCAGATTTTATCTTAACAGTGATGTAAAATGAATGAATTTTTAAATAAAATTCTAGCTTCATTTTCCATATTTACTCTATCAATTTCTAGGATGCACATGTTAATTGTTAATGAATCTGTGTTTTAAAATAATTTATGTCATGGTCTCATTTTTAAGGACATCAGATAGCTATTCAAGATTATTTCTAGGTTTTCTGCTCCCTTGGTCTTTTTGCTTTTTGGTCCCTTGTTTGCCAATATCTTCATATTATTACAATGCCTCTATAGTATAATTTTCTCTGAGGAATTATGATATCTTTAACAATTCTTATTTGTTTGTTATCCTTCTTCTACTTTGCTTGATGTCCTGTGTTCATTTCCAAACCCCAAAAGGAAGAGAAAAGATTTACTGAAAATTATGAAATATTTCTTTTTATTTATGCTTCATTTAATTGTTTACATTTATATTTTGAGTACAATAGGCGAAATACTTTATAAAAGCTTAAACTTTTAGATAACTATTACCAGTTAGTAAGTTATATATGTCCATACAAACATTAGAGTCTAACTTCAGGCTTGTTTTCAGTTTTCAATGGCATAAATGGTACATTGCATTTTTTCCCCATTTTTTGAGACTGGGTTTCTCCATGTAGTTTTTATGCCTGTTCTGGAACTCACTTGCT